TGTCTACTGTACCTGACTGAATCATGACTACTGTACCTGACTGAATCATGTCTACTGTACCTGACTGAATCATGTCTACTGTACCTGACTGAATCATGACTCCTGTACCTGACTGAATCATGACTCCTGTACCTGACTGAATCATGACTCCTGTACCTGACTGAATCATAACTACTGTACCTGACTGAATCATGACTCCTGTACCTGACTGAATCATGACTCCTGTACCTGACTGAATCATGACTACTGTACCTGACTGAATCATGACGACTGTACCTGACTGAATCATGACGACTGTACCTGACTGAATCATGACGACTGTACCTGACTGAATCATGACTACTGACTGAATCATGACGACTGTACCTGACTGAATCATGACTCCTGTACCTGACTGAATCATGACTACTGACTGAATCATGACGACTGTACCTGACTGAATCATGACGACTGTACCTGACTGAATCATGACTACTGACTGAATCATGACGACTGTACCTGACTGAATCATGACTACTGACTGAATCATGACTACTGTACCTGACTGAATCATGACGACTGACTGAATCATGACTACTGACTGAATCATGACTACTGACTGAATCATGTCTACTGTACCTGACTGAATCATGACTACTGTAACCTGACTGAATCATGACTACTGACTGAATCATGTCTACTGTACCTGACTGAATCATGACTACTGTACCTGACTGAATCATGTCTACTGTACCTGACTGAATCATGTCTACTGTACCTGACTGAATCATGACTCCTGTACCTGACTGAATCATGTCTACTGTACCTGACTGAATCATGACTCCTGTACCTGACTGAATCATGTCTACTGTACCTGACTGAATCATGTCTACTGTACCTGACTGAATCATGACTACTGACTGAATCATGACTCCTGTACCTGACTGAATCATGACGACTGTACCTGACTGAATCATGACTACTGTACCTGACTGAATCATGACGACTGTACCTGACTGAATCATGAAGACTGACTGAATCATGTCTACTGTACCTGACTGAATCATGACTACTGTACCTGACTGAATCATGTCTACTGTACCTGACTGAATCATGTCTACTGTACCTGACTGAATCATGACTCCTGTACCTGACTGAATCATGACTCCTGTACCTGACTGAATCATGACTCCTGTACCTGACTGAATCATAACTACTGTACCTGACTGAATCATGACTCCTGTACCTGACTGAATCATGACTCCTGTACCTGACTGAATCATGACTACTGTACCTGACTGAATCATGACGACTGTACCTGACTGAATCATGACGACTGTACCTGACTGAATCATGACGACTGTACCTGACTGAATCATGACTACTGACTGAATCATGACGACTGTACCTGACTGAATCATGACTCCTGTACCTGACTGAATCATGACTACTGACTGAATCATGACGACTGTACCTGACTGAATCATGACGACTGTACCTGACTGAATCATGACTACTGACTGAATCATGACGACTGTACCTGACTGAATCATGACTACTGACTGAATCATGACTACTGTACCTGACTGAATCATGACGACTGACTGAATCATGACTACTGACTGAATCATGACGACTGTACCTGACTGAATCATGACTACTGACTGAATCATGACTACTGTACCTGACTGAATCATGACGACTGACTGAATCATGACTACTGACTGAATCATGACGACTGACAGAATCATGACGACTGTACCTGACTGAATCATGACTACTGACTGAATCATGACTACTGTACCTGACTGAATCATGACTACTGTACCTGACTGAATCATGACGACTGACTGAATCATGACTACTGACTGAATCATGACTACTGACTGAATCATGACTACTGTACCTGACTGAATCATGACGACTGTACCTGACTGAATCATGACCACTGTACCTGACTGAATCATGACGACTGTACCTGACTGAATCATGACGACTGACTGAATCATGACGACTGTACCTGACTGAATCATGTTTACTGTACCTGACTGAATCATGACTACTGTACCTGACTGAATCATGTCTACTGTACCTGACTGAATCATGACTACTGACTGAATCATGACTCCTTTACCTGACTGAATCATGACTCCTGTACCTGACTGAATCATGACTCCTGTACCTGACTGAATCATGACTACTGTACCTGACTGAATCATGACGACTGTACCTGACTGAATCATGACTCCTGTACCTGACTGAATCATGACGACTGTACCTGACTGAATCATGACTACTGACTGAATCATGACGACTGTACCTGACTGAATCATGACTCCTGTACCTGACTGAATCATGACTACTGACTGAATCATGACGACTGTACCTGACTGAATCATGACGACTGTACCTGACTGAATCATGACGACTGTACCTGACTGAATCAGGACTACTGACTGAATCATGACGACTGTACCTGACTGAATCATGACTACTGACTGAATCATGACTACTGTACCTGACTGAATCATGACGACTGACTGAATCATGACTACTGACTGAATCATGACTACTGACTGAATCATGACGACTGACAGAATCATGACGACTGTACCTGACTGAATCATGACTACTGACTGAATCATGACTACTGTACCTGACTGAATCATGACTACTGACTGAATCATGACTACTGTACCTGACTGAATCATGACTACTGTACCTGACTGAATCATGACGACTGTACCTGACTGAATCATGACGACTGTACCTGACTGAATCATGACTACTGACTGAATCATGACGACTGTACCTGACTGAATCATGACTCCTGTACCTGACTGAATCATGACTACTGACTGAATCATGACGACTGTACCTGACTGAATCATGACGACTGTACCTGACTGAATCATGACGACTGTACCTGACTGAATCATGACTACTGACTGAATCATGACGACTGTACCTGACTGAATCATGACTACTGACTGAATCATGACTACTGTACCTGACTGAATCATGACGACTGACTGAATCATGACTACTGACTGAATCATGACTACTGACTGAATCATGACGACTGACAGAATCATGACGACTGTACCTGACTGAATCATGACTACTGACTGAATCATGACTACTGTACCTGACTGAATCATGACTACTGACTGAATCATGACTACTGTACCTGACTGAATCATGACTACTGTACCTGACTGAATCATGACGACTGTACCTGACTGAATCATGACGACTGTACCTGACTGAATCATGACTACTGACTGAATCATGACTACTGTACCTGACTGAATCATGACTACTGTACCTGACTGAATCATGACTACTGTACCTGACTGAATCATGACTACTGTACCTGACTGAATCATGACTACTGTACCTGACTGAATCATGACGACTGTACCTGACTGAATCATGACGACTGACTGAATCATGTCTACTGTACCTGACTGAATCATGACTACTGTACCTGACTGAATCATGTCTACTGTACCTGACTGAATCATGTCTACTGTACCTGACTGAATCATGACTACTGACTGAATCATGTCTACTGTACCTGACTGAATCATGACTCCTGTACCTGACTGAATCATGACTACTGTACCTGACTGAATCATGACTACTGTACCTGACTGAATCATGACTACTGTACCTGACTGAATCATGACTACTGACTGAATCATGACTACTGTACCTGACTGAATCATGACTACTGTACCTGACTGAATCATGACTACTGTACCTGACTGAATCATGACTACTGTACCTGACTGAATCATGACGACTGTACCTGACTGAATCATGACGACTGACTGAATCATGTCTACTGTACCTGACTGAATCATGACTACTGTACCTGACTGAATCATGTCTACTGTACCTGACTGAATCATGTCTACTGTACCTGACTGAATCATGACTACTGACTGAATCATGTCTACTGTACCTGACTGAATCATGACTCCTGTACCTGACTGAATCATGACTACTGTACCTGACTGAATCATGACTACTGTACCTGACTGAATCATGACTACTGACTGAATCATGACTACTGTACCTGACTGAATCATGACTACTGTACCTGACTGAATCATGACTACTGACTGAATCATGACTCCTGTACCTGACTGAATCATGACTACTGTACCTGACTGAATCATGACTACTGTACCTGACTGAATCATGACTACTGACTGAATCATGTCTACTGTACCTGACTGAATCATGACGACTGTACCTGACTGAATCATGACTACTGACTGAATCATGACTACTGTACCTGACTGAATCATGACTACTGTACCTGACTGAATCATGACTACTGACTGAATCATGACTACTGTACCTGACTGAATCATGACTACTGTACCTGACTGAATCATGACTACTGTACCTGACTGAATCATGACTACTGTACCTGACTGAATCATGACTACTGACTGAATCATGACTACTGTACCTGACTGAATCATGACTACTGTACCTGACTGAATCATGACTACTGACTGAATCATGACTCCTGTACCTGACTGAATCATGACTACTGACAGAATCATGACGACTGTACCTGACTGAATCATGACTACTGACTATATCATGACTCCTGTACCTGACTGAATCATGACTACTGACTGAATCATGACTACTGACTGAATCATGTGTACTGTAACCTGACTGAATCATGACTACTGACTGAATCATGTCTACTGTACCTGACTGAATCATGACTACTGTACCTGACTGAATCATGACTACTGTACCTGACTGAATCATGACTACTGACTGAATCATGACTCCTGTACCTGACTGAATCATGACTACTGTACCTGACTGAATCATGACTCCTTTACCTGACTGAATCATGTTTACTGTACCTGACTGAATCATGACTCCTGTACCTGACTGAATCATGACTCCTGTACCTGACTGAATCATGACTCCTGTACCTGACTGAATCATGACTCCTGTACCTGACTGAATCATGTTTACTGTACCTGGTTGAAATGGCTACATCCACTCTCCATTTGAACTCCTCCAGCTTGGCCAGACGCGGCTCGTGCTGTCGAACACTCGCTGAGGTTAGCCTGGAAGAGAAGGGCCGATTACTGGAGAACGGCTCAGTATAATACAGTCAGATCATATGTGTTGTGCTCTGACCTGTTCCCAAAGACCACGCTGGACACGTCCGAGAGGAACTCTTCAGAAATCCTGTGATGAACACATAAACACAGCTGCACACATCACTTCAACACAGCAGATACAGGAAAATAAACTTTATTTGAAATTTACTAGCATAAATAATGAATAATGACTGTATAAGACATCTCTTACCGAAGAGCTCTGAGGTCCTCATTGAAAACCTGAAACAAAGACAATTGATTTTGAATACATTGATGCACTGAAATATCAGTTTTCATATTCACACAGTGTATCATTACAGTTATCACAGTATTCAGCAGGTCTACACACGACTGTAGAAAAATTAAAACAATTTTAACAATTTTACTTTATGCAGTCAAGCTCTGAACAGATTTATCTATAACGCACTGTGTGTTTGAGCGTCAGTGAAGACAAACACTCCAGTGAGCGCACACACACACACACACACGCACACACACACACACACACACACACACACACACACACACACACACACACACACACACACACACACACACAGTTAGGAGTGTCCTCAAACCTCCTGTCGGAGCGTAGGCATTCGCTGAGCCTCCTTCAGAAGAGCATATAGTCCTGCCATCACATGGTTCAGGCTGTCCTCTGAGACGAGTCCGCTCTCGGAGATCCTCTGCACACACTCACAGCAGTCCTCGCCCTCCATCGCCTTCACCACCGCTGAACACACACAGGTGAACACAGACAGGTGAACACAGCTGAACACAGACAGGTAGGTGAACACAAAGCTCCAGCCCCCCTAAATTTATGCCTAGGCTCCCTAAAAATTAGTGATTAATATGCTACACAAATTGGTGTGTTTTAATCAGATTCAGCGCGTTCCCCATCTTAAATCCGCAGTGGTGCCGAGCAGAGAGAGCGTCAGAAAGAGAGGAAATAGTGTGTGTGCATCTGAGCCCATTGGTCTGACACTGCTCGTCAATGTCAGAATATTTGAGATGACCAATCAAATCAAAATTAGGCGGGCTTTACAGTACATTCACAGAAGCCAAGCGCGAATTTTAGCAGCACGACTCGACTTCAGTGCACGGGCAAGTGCGAGATATAAGTAGCTAAACCTATAACGTTGTATATTTGACAGTTTTTTGAGGTCATGAATGTTAAATGAACAACAAAAAATAATCTGGAAAACTAATAGGCCTATAGTTTCATCTAATTTCGCCCTTTTAAACTGAAATTAGGCATGTAACGTCAGCCTAATGTATTCGTTTACTGTCATTGTGAGACAAGAAATGTTAACAAATCCGTTTTCATCATGGAAGGTGCAAAATATAATACAAATTGTAGCCTTTAGTAAATAAAAAAGCTCAGCTTTAGGAGAGGGAGAGAAAGGGCACGATGAGGAGACAAGCGAAATGAGGAGAGAGCAGGTATTGACAAATCTACTGACATAGTTTTAAAGCTATTTCTTTTTTTTTTTTTTGGTCTTCAAATGTCTTGAAATGCACATATCAAACCCCCAAACCTCCACCTCAAATGTAGGACCTCTTTGATTATAAGCCCTGTCCACAGCCCATCAGAATCAGGACCAGAAAGAGCTTTATCCCAAGTGTGCTTTTTTGTACAAAAATGAAAAGCCTAAAATCAGTCAAAGCTCAACTTTAGGAGGGCAAGAGAAAAACAAAGAGAAAGAGAGTGTTATGCTAATGAGGAGAGAAAAGTAATCAGCTGCCCACTGACATGGTTTTATAAAAAATAATAATAATAATAATAATAAAAAGCATTCAAAACATCTTAAAATGGACATAGGCCTAAGTAATAATACATTTTCTCGGGGAAACCCCGAACCCCTCTAACACAACTCAAATACTTTTTATAAAAATGATTATAAAACCCTGCAATTGCATGGTAATGAAAGTGAGCATTAGACCCTAAATTAAACTTTTACCTTGTTTTTATTTTTTTTAATCATACCCTCATTGGGGGCTATGCCCCCCTAAAAGGAAAATCCAAGAATCGCCCCTGCTTCAGTTGTTATTGTCCTTCAGAGTTATTACCCTTCATTGTTTTTATCCCTCGGTGTTTATGTGAACGCCTCGCGCTGCTCGTCACGTGAGCGGATCGTCATACTGAGATCACGAGGGGTTTAATAATCCATAGGTTTAATCGGGCAGTTTCCGAAAGATTCGCCTTTCGGGGTTTATAATGCAGAGCTGGAACTGAAACTCACCTCCGAGTATCTGTGTGAAAGTGTCTCTGTGGAGATTCCTCAGGTGTTTACACAGCAGCTCCACCTCAGCCGGAACTCTGCCGCCGAATACACTCACGGACTCGCTCATCTTCTGTGGAGGAGAGACGGGCTCTGATGAAGCTGTGGCTGACAGGATCCCAGCGAGCTCTCTTTCTCCTTCTCCTTCTTCTCCTTTTCCTTCTCCTTCTCTTGTTTACTGGCGATCCACTCTTTAGCGGCATTATCGCCACCTACTGTACCGGATTAATTAAACTCTAATGGGTCTGAAGTTTAAATTCTGTACCGTTTCCTTCTCCTTCTCCAGTTCACACACACACACACACACACACACACACACTTCACAAACCTCGCTGAGTAATACAGCTTACAGCAGGTTTAAGATAAGAGGCTTGTTATGAGTTTTGCACACTAAGAAAGAGTGTGTATATTCAAACCAATGCGTTCCTCATGTATGATTTAAAAGGGGTCATGTGATGCAGCGTGCTCTGATTGGCCGAACCCCTAAAGCGAGTGAAGTGTTACGCCGCTCAACATAATCACGAATTTCAGCTCACAAAGCATTTATAAAGACAGTGAGTAATGTTGTCAGTTTTACCATATCAGTCCGAGCCGAGGCGGACTCTGAAAACGCAGATGACCAAGCCGACCGGATGCTCGTATGTCGTACAGTACACGAGCCGTAGTTCGACGACACGTGACAAACGCCAGCAGTTTGGGTTGTACTGTTCTGGAACAGTGTTGAAAATAAACCACTGGTTCCTCTACTTTGGCTTTTGCATAGAAACACACGGCGTCTCCACGACATGGGGCAACTACACTACTTAGATTAGATTAGATAATACTTTATTGCCAGGCAATTGATCACTGAAGCGCTTATGCAATTGGGCAGCATTATGCACATATCTCCACGTAGGTTCTGTCGAGGCGTTTTACACAGGTCTGGATCTGCCTTCTCTTTCAGATTGAATAAATCTCTTGTGGGAGACTTTGAGCGTTGACTCAAATATATAACTATATATATATATATATGAACATGGTGAGTCAGCAGTACAAGAGATGTGTGCACCCCCGTCTGAGATTACGGGTGGCATCGTCGGCGCTATGGTGGGTATTCGATCACTGTGCCTACCCTAGCGGTCATTGATGCCCCTCCTACCACAGTTGCTAATACAATGCTAAATCATGTTTGTTTACTATACCGATGTCCAGCTGTCTATTTAAATAGTACATTGTGTTTGTCGTATAATGAGATCTAATATGTGTTGGTGCCAAGACTTTTCACGTGAAGAAATAGATATATCTATAGATACATACATAGATATCTAGCGGCAGAACTTTAGGCATGTCAATGTCAATGTCAATGTTTATTTGTATAGCACATTTCCAAGGCCTAGGCCTACCAAAGTACTTCACAGTTAGAGCACAAAACAATAAACACAGACGGATACATGCGCATCAAAGATTCGCGTCGCTTCCTGACCGAACAATTATCTACTACTTTAATAACTTTAAAAACTATCACCCTAGCCTTTACGCTAGTGCTAACACGCTATGTAAACAAACACTTCAACTGGAAGTAGAAAACCGTTTAGTCAGTTGAAGCCGCTATGAATCATGGGAAATAGAACGGGTGAATAAGGTGAATAAGGTGTGCAGATTGCCCTTCAGTAGGGCTCACGCGTCCTCTAGAGTCCGTCTTTCAGAGAGATCGTGATCGTCTCCCCTCATCCGTTTGTGAGATTTCATGGCCCCTGCCCTCGTCCTCGTTGTGCCCGAGGCAGCGTCACACTGGGACAGGCAGGTTTCCCGGTGGGATAGTGGGTATTCGTTCCCCAAACTGTCGTTCCGATCCTCAAAAGGGAACGTCTCGGTTTACGACTGTAACCCTTGCTCCCTGAGAAGGGAACCTTTTCCACGCCTTCTCCTGCCTGGGAGCGTCTTCTTCATCGCTGAAGCTAACTCTGTTGTGTACCTGCGTCCCTTCGTACGGCGTCACATGCTATGTCATGACGCAACAACAATCCTGATTGGCTCAGTTTCATTCACCCTTCAGAGGCGCTACGCTGGAGGGCGTTCCCCAAAGTGTCGTTCAGTGTCTCGTTCCCTTCTCAGGGAACAAGGGTTGCAGTCGTAACACAAGATGTTTGTAGAGTATAAAAACCATTACGTCTATGGAGAGCCCTCATAAAACACTAAAACCCAACGTGTGTGTGTGTGTCTGGCCCTGGGTAGTGGCCCACATATGGTGTTGATCATGCATGCTGTAATGTCTGTGTTTAACTACATATACAAGGGAATCTGGGTCAGGATGATGATGATGATGATGATGATGATGGCACTTTCGTGATGTTTCTGAGGCTGATTTTCCACTTCACTCAGCAGAGACTCTCTCTCTCAGCCCTCACTCGTCCCTCACTCTCTCTCAGCCCTCACTCGTCCCTCACTCTCTCTCTCAGCCCTCACTCGTCCCTCTCTCTCTCTCTCAGCCCTCACTCGTCCCTCTCTCTCTCTCAGCCCTCACTCGTCCCTCTCTCTCTCTCAGCCCTCACTCTCTCTCTCTCTCTCTCAGCCCTCACTCGTCCCTCACTCTCTCTCTCTCTCTCTC